ATGGTACATATTATCAAGTTTGAGAAAAAAAAGTTTTGTGCTGTGATTCTGCTAGGTTGATAGTATAGTAGTAGAATAGTACCTGCCGTAAGAGTTATATTTTACTTTGTTTGAATATTCTGACATTTTTCGTTTATTATAATTACGGATTAGGTAAGACAAAAAAGCGAGGGGTAAGTACATGGGGCAATCCGGTGTACAACTTAGGGGTATTGCGGGGCAATGCGAGGCAGTGTGGGGCATTGCGGGGTAATGCGAGGCATTGTCGGGCACTGCAGGGTATTGATGGGCATTGCAAGGTATTGTGAGGCATTGTTAGGCAATGCGGGGTATTGAAATAGCACTGAAAGGGCAATGTGGAGCAATGTTTGGGCCTAATTTGTTGCGCGCGCATCCGTTTCTGTTCAAGGTCACTATATTCAGTTCTATCGTTCAAAGTGATGCCTTCGTAGTCCGTCTACATTCTGATTGCGCCATTCAAGCTTTTCGTATCACGTCATGCTGTCATCAACTCCAGCTACAGCTATAGCTTTGGATCGGATTGGAATAGGATTCAACCGACTATTCGAGTAAAAACTACGATATAGATGAGAAAAGTACATATGTGAAAGTCACTTTGGGAAATTATAATATGATTATAATAAAAAAATCATCATTATGCTGGCTTCTGAATGAGGGATAGGGACGTATCAGTAACGATCGCATACAGCGTTCCAATGCTATATCCTAGATCTGTCCAAAAAAGAAAGTCAAAAATACCTGCTGACAATTCAAATACTAAGAAAAAGAAAACTGAATGTATCGAGGATTCTTCAGAAGAAGAAAATGAACCAGATATCGTTTTAGACGATTCCACAGATGTGGAGGCATTCTACTCTTTGGGAGAAGATCCAGAAGAAGATGATGAAAAAACTTGACGTTTTCGATCCCGAAATGGATGAATAGATAATTTCTATGCAGTGGTATTTGATAAAAACTGGTATCTGGGACTGGTAATGAAAAAGAACCAAGACAGATTCGGGATACCAAAAGAATGTATTTTTCACGGACCACTTGTACTTGGAGAAAATTCTCTGTTTCTCCTAAAAAGAGCGGATAAAGTGAACATTTCCAATTATTATTTGGAGTCGGAAAAAAATGCATATCCAGTGTGATGTGCTTTAACAAAATATATATTCAGGTTCAAGCTGTTTTTTGTTCAAGAAAATCTCAACTTTGTTCTAGTTTCGAGAAAGAATACAGAGAGAGTTTTTTTAATAACTATAAACTTGAAAAAATGTTTAATTTTAGTCGAGATTTCAGTACTGTTACCTAATATCTGGACTTATATGTATGCCCGGTGTTTCTGTTACCAAACTATGATCTCTGAATTAATGTGATACTGTCTAAAGAAGTACCTCTAGGAATAACTACTTAGTTATCAAAAGTTGTTTTTGCGAAAAGGCGTGTGTTTGTATGTTTGTTTCATGTTAGACTGCTTGTTATGTGTAATTTCTTGATAAAATATGTATAATTATTCAGTATTTCTCGTCCCATCAGATTATTGATTCACTAAGACATTAAAATGAATTTGAACTATGATGTAAAAGACTAAGTCAGTTTTTATATTTCAATATAGTCTGTCTCTCTTCAACACATGGAATGAAAAGAGATAGTTATATAGTGCACTAGGGGCATTGTTGGGCATTGGGGGGCATTGTTGGGCATTGCGGGGGCAATGTTGGGCATTGGAGGGCAATGTTGGGCAATGCGGGGTATTGTTGACTGAAAAATGGGCATTGCAGGGTAATTTTGGTGAATTGAGGCATTCATTACCCCTTGGTGTACAAAAAATGGCTAAGTACTTACCCCTCGCAAAAAAGTGATTATTTTCTTAAAGTAACCTATTATTTTCCGAGTTTTTGCTGGAACACCCAGTTATTTACAATAAACTATTTGATTAACTCGTTGATTTTCATTATAGCACACTACCTGGAGACCACCTCATAAGAATATTTGTTAAAATATAATCAACACTGTGGAAATGACGGAACACGCCGTAGTTTTCAAGAAAATAGATATTTTTCAAGTTCTTTCAACTAAGCACCCGGCCTACGGTTTGGCACAACTTTTTCTATCGACTGAATCATTTCTTCCAATGTAATGAACACTCTGTAGGAATTTCATGACGACGGAACACGCCGTAGTTTCCAAGAAAATGAATATTTTTCAAGATTTTCAACATAGCTCACGGCCTACGGTTTTGCACGAATTTTTCTATCAACTGAATCATTTCGATCGATATAATGAACACTCTGTGAAAATTTCATGACGGAACACGTCGTAGTTTCTAAGAAAATAAATATTTTTCAAGTTTTTTCAACATAGCTCCCGGCCTACGGCTTGGCACAACTTTTTCTATCGACTGAATCATTTCTTTTAATGTCATGAACACTCTGTAGAAATTTCATGACGAAACACGCCGTAGTTTCCAAGAAAATAAATATTTTCAAAGTTTTCTCAACATAGCTCCCGGCCTACGGTTTGGCACAACTCTTTCTATCGACTGAATCATTTAGATCAATGTAATAAACACTCTGTGAAATTTTTATGACGGAACACGCCGTAGTTTCCAAGAAAATGAATATTTTTCAAGTTTTTTCATAATAGCTCCCGGCCTACGGTTTGGCACAAGTTTTTCTATCGACTGATTCATTTCTTTCAATGTCATGAACACTCGGTAGGAATTTCATGACGGAACACGTCGTAGTTTCCAAGAAAATAAATATTTTTCAAGTTTTTTCAACATAGCTCCCGGCCTACGGTTTGGCACAACTTTTTCTATCGACTGAATCATTTAGATTAATGTAATAAACACTCTGTGGAATTTTTATGACGGAACACGCCGTAGTTTCCAAGAAAATGAATATTTTTCAAGTTTTTTCATAATAGCTCCCGGCCTACGGTTTGGCACAAGTTTTTTTATCGACTGAATCATTTCTTTCAATGTCATGAACACTCTGTAGGAATTTCATGACGGAACACGCCGTAGTTTCCAAGAAAATGAATATTTTTCAAGTTTTTTCAACCAAGCACGCGGCCTACGGGTTGGCACAACTTATTTTATCGATTGAATCATTTCGATCAATGTAATGAACCTGTACAAATTTCATGACGAAACACGCCGTAGTTTCCAAGAAAATAAATATTTTACAAGTTTTTTCAACATAGCTCCCGGCCTACGGTTTGGCACAACTTTTTCTATCGACTGAATCATTTCGATCAATGTAATGAACACTCTGTGGAAATTTCATGACGGAACACGCCGTTGTTTCTGAGAAAATAAATATTTTTCAGGTTTTTTCAACCAAGCACGCGGCCTACGGGTTGGCACAACTTAGTTTATCGATTGAATCATTTCGATCAATGTAATGAACCTGTACAAATTTCATGACGAAACACGCCGTAGTTTCCAAGAAAATAAATATTTTACAAGTTTTTTCAACATAGCTCCCGGCCTACGGTTTGGCACAACTTTTTCTATCGACTGAATCATTTCTCTTAATGTAATGAACACTCTGTGGAAATTTCATGACGGAACACGCAGTAGTTTCCAAGAAAATGAATATTTTTCAAGTTTTTTCATAATAGCTCCCGGCCTACGGTTTGGCACAACTTTTTCTATCGACTGAATCATTTTTTTCAATGTCATGAACACTCTGTGGGAATTTCATGACGGAACACGCCGTAGTTTCCAAGAAAATGAATATTTTTCAAGTTTTTTCAACCAAGCACGCGGCCTACGGGTTGGCACAACTTAGTTTATCGATTGAATCATTTCGATCAATGTAATGAACCTGTACAAATTTCATGACGAAACACGCCGTAGTTTCCAAGAAAATAAATATTTTACAAGTTTTTTCAACATAGCTCCCGGCCTACGGTTTGGCACAACTTTTTCTATCGACTGAATCATTTCTCTTAATGTAATGAACACTCTGTGGAAATTTCATGACGGAACACGCAGTAGTTTCCAAGAAAATGAATATTTTTCAAGTTTTTTCAACATATCTCCCGGCCTACGGGTTGGCACAACTTATTTTATCGATTGAATCATTTCTTTTAATGTAATGAACACTCTGTAGAAATTTCATGACGGAACACGCAGTAGTTTCCAAGAAAATGAATATTTTTCAAGTTTTTTCAACATATCTCCCGGCCTACGGGTTGGCACAACTTATTTTATCGATTGAATCATTTCGATCAATGTAATGAACACTTTGTACAAATTTCATGACGGAACACGCCGTAGTTTACAAGAAAATAAATATTTTTCAAGTTTTTTCAACATAGCTCCTCGCCTACGGTTTGGCACAACTATTTCTTTCGACTGAATCATTTAGATCAATGCAATGAACACTCTGTGAAAATTTAATGAGGGAACACGCTGTTGTTTTTAAGAAAATAAATATTTTTTAGGTTTTTTTCAACTAAGCACCCGGCCTACGGGTTGGCACAACTTTTTTCATCGATTGAATCATTTCTTTTAATGTCATGAACACTCTGTAGAAATTTCATGACGGAACACGCCGTAGTTTCCAAGAAAATACATATTTTTCAAGTTTTTCAACATAGCTCCCGGCCTACGGTTTGGCACAACTTTTTTTACCAACTGAATCATTTTGATCAATATAATGAACACTCTGTAGAAATTTCATGACGGAACACGTCGTGGTTTTCAAGAAAATAAATATTTTTCAAGTTTTTCCCAATCTAGCACTCACTGACTTTTTCCAGTTTTGTTAAACATACTGGTGTGTAAATATTTCGTTCAAGTACTTTCTCATGCTCACAAAAAAAAAAATGATGTGGCAACACTGTATAAGATTAAATCGCTGCATCATAGAAAATTTCCCCTACGTCAGAATTTGTGGATGAAGGTTTGTGGGTAACTTCACACTAATGTCAGTATCGCCAAAGCCAAAATCGCACAAAATAAACCAAGCTTTATTACTACTAACCTCAAAAATAGGCAAGCCTGATATTTTTCCAAAGATACTTGCAGACGAAGCACACACTCCGGAATAAATTGCATATTTCACAGTTTCAAGCATTCTCAAGTGCATGCTGTTGATCATATCCATAGTTTGTCCTGCTGTCTTTTATTCTCATTTCTACTACATTTATTGCCTATATTGAGCCAGTTGTAGAGAATTTACAGAGTTTGCTGACTTCTGTCCAGTCCTGTATCTGTAGTTATGTTGCTAGTTTGCTAGTAAGATGGCTACAAGCACGTGGATGCTACAAGGACCTTATTTGCTAGTAAGATTAAGATGCCTATTGCTAGTTGCTAGGCAAGTTATTTGATTTTAGTTCGCAGTGGATATATCCCCGAGCGACGGGGTCAAGTCGAGAAGAGAACGCGGCAATATCATAGGCGCCGCCCAAGTTTGGCAAGGTTAGTAGAAGAAATGGGCGATAGTGATAGGTAAGATAGGTTGTCTCGTTGCGACGAGATATAGAGGATAGACGCGTCATCGAGAGTGCCAGACATATTGTTTACATTGAATCTTGTACTGTGCAATCTGAGCTCTGTACTGCACATTATTGGTACGGAAATACGCCCAGCTTCTGATGGAGGTCAGAACTGATAGAGGCAACTCGAAGCAATAAGTACTCATGGCATATCTTCGGCCCGATAGATAGAGGAATTTTTCAGGGCCGTTGGTTAACGAGGTTGAATGAATTCAATATTCGTAGTACCTATACTGAATTAGGTTCTCAAAAAAGCTATGGGACATGTCAATTCTGTTTTTTGATGTCCCATTTTTCAACTAGCTATGTAAAAAAATATACAGGGCATCATTCGTGGAAGTGGCTTCGCTAAGAGGTCAGCTTTTATTTTAGGATAATAATTGATATCGTCGACTATGATGAGGGGGAGAGCGGATATCAATTCTGTCCGATATATAAGAGCTTCGACTGTTCTCGTGAAATTTCGGGACTGTAGACTGTATGGAAAATTGCTAAGTTTGGTAATTGTAATTTAATTAGGATGCATCCGCTTCGTCGGCTTGACAAGGTAAATGCGAGAAGTGAGTATTAGTGAAAGCAGCATCTTTGAGGTAGGCGCAAACGGAGCGGAAATGCTGTAGCCAGGCAGGTCTACAGCAGCGTCGTTGATGGTGGGTTTCAGCCAGGTATCGGCAAGTAAGAGGATATCAGGATGATTAATAGAGACAAAGAGAAGAGAATCGTCGAATTTTACAGGTAATAAGGCTATCTGGAGTAGACAATGTATAGCTGTTGTAGTCTGGGAGGGATAAATTGAGTTAAGATTTTTGGATTTTGATCGACAGGTATAATGCAGGGTAGGTTATGAATATATCGCGAGTTGGCGTTATGTACCGCCGTGTATGCATGGCCCGTATCCATCTCACAATGGTGTCGTTGATTCCATGTTCCATGCTCGTGAGCGGCGTTACACATGGAATCGAATGAGGCATAGTCAAAAGCCCCTTCTATGTGCATCAAGAATATAGACCTAGCAGACCTAGCTAGTGAACTGCTCACAATATAGTACTGCATCGACCTTACCAACAAGATGAAGGAGAGCGGTGTCCGTAGATTCACCAATCGAGAACCTTCAGGAGAAAGGATGTGAGGCTAATTGGATGAAAATATTTGGCAAAGGAGTAGTCGATGCTGCTCAGCTTAGGAATGAACACGAGCCGCACTGCTCTCCAGGATACTGGGATGTAGAAGCTATATATAGTGCTGTGCAGGCCCTGTAAATCATTACTAGGAAGGTAAAGATCGTGTTCATGCTCTTTCGCAGGAGAGCAGGAAAGATATCATCTTCTCCGGCCGATTTGTATGGTAGAAGAGACTCGATGGCCAATATACGACCTTCTCGTGTGTGACCACCTCCTTGGCCGTGGCGAAATCTTCTGATGAAATTTCGATCAAATGGTAGGTTCATGTTTCAGAGTATTATAGCTTGAACTCTGATTCCTGAAAACAGCTGATGACTTGATCAATAAACAGGAAAAAATAAAAGTTACTCTTTCATCTCTATAACTGATTATAACCCTTCATTGTGGCGAAGGTAGTTAAACTTAGCTTTATCATGTTTCGGATTAGAGTGTGATCCCTTCCAAACACAATGGATTTTAAATATTAAATGATACACAAAGTCATCTTCATTTAGTATTTATAATACTTGACTCCATTTTGAAAAACCATGGACTTCTACCAAAGACTACAATGGATTTTGATTCACGTCAATAATTATTCTTGTTATGAAAAAGTATTATAAGAAAGTATGAATTTTTAAAATTTGTATTAACAATAATTCAGAACATGTTCAGAACCATTTTCTAACCTAGATTGAAGTGTGGTCTCTTTTTGTCTCTTCTCAACACGATGGTTCTTGACTCATGTCGATATCTCATTCTTTGAAGAAGATGCAAGTGTTTTGATAAAGAATGGATTTTTTAAATTTTTATCTACAATGATTCAGAACCTTTAGAGAGCGTCTTTGGGATGAACTCCAGAGGCTCATTTGCGTCTTCGTCTGGCCATGTCAGAGACAATTCAAGAACTATGATTCACTCATCATGGAAAATTTGAGGCAATTCCTCAGGTCTGCTTGAGAAATTTGATCAAAACTCGATGCCATATGGGCGGTTGAATGCTATGTAATTCGAGTTCGAGGAGGGCATACTCATTATTGACTACATATCTAGGAGGTCTCTGCTTTCTAACTGTTTTCAATAATCAAGCTCTTTGCTGATGGATGCTACAAAATACGGTGAAAATGAGTGATATCAATTTTCAAATGTTTTTTAGAGTTCTTTATCGATACGTTTTTGTATGTTCTGCAAATTTGAAAAATCCATATTTTCTTAAAACACTTGTATTTTATTCGGTCAAAAAAATATATTAACGTGAATAGAAAACCATTTTGTCAATGAGGGATCACAATCCAATCCAAAGAGAAATGAAACTAGGTGAAACCACTCACTTTTGCCTCAGGGCGTAAAGAAATTCAAGCGTGAAATAGTAACTTCCAGTCTTTCCTGTATAATGATGAAGCCATCAGTTTATTTTTGGACATTAAAATTCAGGTTAATATTTCAAAACGTAATTCTACAATTTGATTGTGATTTTATCAAAATTGGACAAGAATTTAAAAAGTTATAGGGCGATCAATTTGGTTAATTCTTATGTTGGCCTGTTTGTTTTGCCGGTGAGTGTAGTTTCAATAAAGAAACGTCGCTGCCAAATTTCAGCAGATTACGATGAATTATTTCTGAAATATCGGCCATCAAGTTATACTTATCTGATGATATCGATATGAAATAAACATCTGGTGCGCTCACTCTTTATTTTCGTTTCGTTCGACTGGTTCTTGCGTTCATGTCCAAGTATGGAACTTATAATCGATATCAGTTCTACCAACCTTGATGCGGCTAAATCGCAAAATGTATTAAACTTGGCGAGATTCACCCACGCCATGTTATGTTTATCGAACTAGGCGAAAATCATGGAATTGTAAAAATTGGAAAGGATTGAAGTGCGTACACCAGAAGTTTATTTCATCAATCTAATGATTATACAACCGGTGACTGTTGTGTAGCCATCGTCTCTTTTGACACTAGATTGCGACGTTGCCGACTTTCAGACTCTCACTATGCTCTCACTCAACTCTCACTCCTCTCAGAGTTCACAGAAAGGGATCTGGAAATACAGGTTCTACTTTTTTATAAAGATTGGATAATGCATTTTTCTTCATGAACTAAAAAACGTAATTACCTCAGTCATTACGTATTAGTCGAAATCATTGTTATATTTCAGAATTTGAATATATCATTCAGATTAGTGAATTGTTTATCAGAAAAGTTACATCATAGAGATATCGCAGCGATGTAACAATTGTGACTTGCGATATCGCATTCTATGTCGAATAGACGTCGCTGCAATGTCCCACTCAAGTTCAATCCTTGCGATGTCGCTGCGATATGTTTTCTGCGATATAACAGCAATATATTTTTTGCAATGTAATTGCGATATGATATTTGAAATAAAAAAGCGATTTATTATGGCGATGAAACTACGATATGATGCTAGATGACATCGCAGTAAAAAGTGAAAAAGTTCAGCGGGGCTATCCTTAGTACCTACGCATCTCCATCAAGACGAGTAATTTGTATCAAGAATTATGTAGCGTCTGTCGGCAATGTAACACATTTTTGGCGAATTCACCTTAAAGAAGTGACATAATATGCCCCTGGTGCCCCAAATGATCCCAAAATATCAAAATAATATGTTTATTTCATAATTGATGGTCTAATAAGCAAATAAAATAACGGTATTATTTTCTGGCTGGGGTTATTCAAGTAGGTTCAGGTATTATCAAGCAGGGTGTGCGTGTTTATTCCTAAATTGAATAAGCGACAAATGAAATGAGGGTAATTGAATACAAGATAAAAAAAAAAACGAGCTGAAATAAAACAAGACAAAATAGTGAATTCCTGTAAAAAAAAAAGTTTTTGATGATATTGAATCTCAAAGTTTGTCTCGAATTTTCGTGGTTTTACCTATGCATAATATACCTCAATAGATGAAAAACACAGTCACCACACAGGTACAGAGTCTTCTACACCGAATATGTCGCGGTTCGTCGGTATGAGCACTCTTACTTACAGCAGAAGAAATCAGATTTCATTGAGTTGGCAACACTGCGGGAAACAGGTAAAACTGGTAAAAGGTAAATTAAAAAATATACACAATATACAGATGTCAGTAAATGTAAACTACATGCCGTCTTCCGTATTCTATTCTGACTATTCTGTTTCTATCAAGTATCAATGATTATGATTTATTATGTGGTTTTTGTGCATTGTAAAAAGTATATAGGTACCTAACTACCTATAATAATTTCGATTAGGTACCAGTGCGGGAAGTGTTCAGTAAAGTTTCCATAAGTTAAAAGAGATGTTTAATGGTGTCATGAGGATCAGGTGAAAGAATAACATAATAGTTCACCAGGAAAGAGAACGGTACTTTGGCAGCTATGGTATGGTATGAGGTTTAAGCTCGGGTTTAAGTACTTGTTATAGAGGTGAGTATGTTAAGAAACAAACTTCCAGTTTTTAATGTCAAATAAAGTAATGCTGAATAATGAAGGTAGGTATTAGCTTCTGAGCTAGCTTCAAATAAAATTGTACTGAATTGAACTAAATCATACCTAAAAAGGAAGGAGGGAAAGCTCAAACTCATCTCCACAAAATTGTGGAGCTTCCTTTCCTCCCTTTGAAAATTCCACTCCACTTTGAGA